ACAAGAATTGTACGGCATGTTTGTAAATTTCTCTCTCTCTCCAATAAGACCTATGGATGTAAATGGTATATTTGTAAAAATAGAACAAGAAGAACTTCTAATGCAAATGCACTGCTAGCTAATAGGATTCAATTTGAATTCCTCCTTCATCATCAACAAAAAGCTCAAAAAGAGAGCATGGTCTTACTGCTCTATTTTAACAACTCAATATTGTTTGAATTCCTAACTTTTTTTAATTGGAAGATTTACATGCATACCACTCAGCTTCTGCGTATTTACATATCTCGTACATTAATTTCACCTGTGTCGCCATGTTTATTCCATGAAAAGGTGTATTTCACTATTTAAAAGAACAAAATTGTGATATTTTTGATGTGGTATGAAAGATTTAAGAGGTATAAATGTAAAAAATACATATAAATACATAGGAATTGGATGGTATGAATGTAAATGCCAATTTTTTTTCATTGAACTTATCTTAATTTTTTCTTTTGCTTTTCATTGTGGAGCATCTCTACTTTGGACAAAGACATGGTTGGGCTTACCTTCGGCTGCCTTTCTGAAGGCATCCTTTATTCCTTTAGGTTTGTCTGTTATAGACCAAAGCAATATATGCTAAACTGCATAATTTGGAGAAGGAAGAGTGGAGGGCAATCCTGTTAGTCACCAACATGCCATTGCTTATTTATTTATTCTTTTGATCTTTGTGTGTTGAAGTATGGTGATTATTGACAATAGAAATTGTGTCATGTCGGTGGAGAAAACAAGTTCCAAATATTTGACATTGCCTCAGTTGAAGATCTCACCGACTTCTCCAAGAAAAAAGTATGGCTATTTTTTGGGGCATGAAATAATTTATGGAGAGATATATATATATATGTAAAAATTGAAGTATAACTGTTAGATATGTAAATACATAAGAATTGAGTATTATTTATGTAAATCTTCCTTCTTTTGAATTGGAAAGTTGAGCTCGGACACGGCCCAAACATGGCAGGACACAACGAGACACCACAAGGACATAACAAGCCACATATGAACATCATATAATAGAGGTATGCGTTGATGGGTTGATGACTTTCCTAGGTTGCATGCATTACAAATTTTGTGTCGTTTCATCATATATTGTAGTGCATTGCTTGTTAGCTAGGATTTGAACATCATTATTTCTCTGATACGGCAACAAATAGTGCAGTTAGTATTATCATATGTAATGTGTTTGGCCCTACTAATGTTGTGGTAAGTACTATCAGATGTAGTGTACCTGACTCTACTAATATATACCTAGTGAAAATTATCATTGGATGAAAGAAATCCTCTTAAGCTATTATTATTATTAAGAAACAAGGCTCGTATAGTTAGAAAGAAGGCTTATTTATTGGCCTCGCGACAATACTCTGATACATATTTGGAATATTTATTATAGGTATTATCAACTGACCATGATTATTATCCACACACCTAGTTAGTTATAAATATGAAAATAATAAACATAAAATAGTTATGATCATTTGTATTGAGTGATTTTGTTATCATATAAATTAGACAAATAAGTTTAATATTAAGTAAATGTCATGATACATTTTTTAAAATTATTAGAACTTAAGATGATTGCATCATAATGTTAAAATTTTTATTACATTTTGCAAGCTTCCCTTCTTATAATATTGTCAATTTTGACATTTCTTCAAAATATGAAATTAAGTTTTTCTCACATTTATAGCTCCATTTTCAATGGCTTCACATTTTCATTTGTATTCTCATTAGATTTTACATATAATATTCTCTTACTTTGGAGTTCATTGATATCCTATGACTTGATTCTCTTAGGTTCTTATGTGAGAGTTAAGTTGAGCTACAATAATATTTTATCGTGTAGAAATTTTTTGCTCTTGTCAAGTAAAATTTTCTTTCATAATGAATAAGTATAGACCATATCAGATATATTACTCATTTTAATAGGTGGGTCTATTTTGTAGGTCAACAATCTCAAAATAAACTTTCCTATATTGTTATACATGAAAAAAAATAATATTGCAAAAGATAAGTAGAACTCATAAAATTTAAAAATTGCATTAGTGAAGTCTGAGCATTACATGAAAAACCGAAGTGTCTTGCAAATGTAGATTTATTGACCTACTAGGTTTGAGTCATGGTGTTTAGAGTGTGGAAAATTCAAACCCTTTGAGTACGTACTAATTCTTGGTTCTCTACAATAGAAAAACTACATTTTTTTTATATTAATTATTTATCATGTTAATTTAACCATGACAAAGTAACAGGCTCTCTAAAAAGTCAGAGTTTGTATTTCTTATGCAATAAGGTTATTATGGTAATACCAGACACATTTCTTCTTTTGTTGGAAAATGCATTATTAATCTTTGGTTGACCTAGCCACTTCCAGAGGGATCCAAATTGCATCTATTCTAAATATTCTAACTTTTGATTGTTCAACATTCATTTCTTTGTTCTCTTTGCTTTAATTTGGGGGACAAGATGTTCCTTTTAAGTGACGCAAGATAAGTGCAAGGTCATTAATTAAGCATTCCCTATTAGAATATCTTTGTAGAATCACCCAACATACCATGCCTACCAAATCAATTTCTTATAGATGAAATTGTTTCATCACAACCCTTGAATATCTTGGTTTCAACTCCACATGATTCTCAGACTTTATTTCAATTATTTGTTCACTAATGTATTGTTTTTTTTTTTTTCCAACTTCAAGGAGCACCATTGCCCATTGCTAGCATCTACAAAGCTAAGATAACTCTTATAAGGTTTCCTTATCTTTAGCATCCTCATAATGGGTTCATGAAGATTCAACCCCACTCTTCAACTCACTTAAGGAAAAAAAAATGACAAGTCAATTTTAAGAGCTTGTAAAAAACTTTATAAATAATAGATTGAGATTTAGATGCCCATGAAGCTCATATATAAGTTGTGCTCAACTCTGATATTTATTTGTTATACCAAACCTTGAAAATCACAAGTTAAGTTATGAGACTTTTAATTAGCTAGCCTTAAAATCTATTAGCATTAAAAAATCTTGAGATCATAGGCTTGAACACAAGCATGAAAATCGTTGATAAACTGAAGTCTGCATAGCTTGTAGTTAGCCTCAAATTCACAAGTGATATATTGCCAAAAAAAAATCAATATGATCAAGAACAAATCTTGATGCTTTTGAATGAGAAAACTTGAAGAGTGAAATTTATGATTATTTGAGCTCTATTTTTTTTAAAAAAAAATATTGTTTCAAATTGAACATAATGATAATCTAAACCTAAAAATATATAAAATGATTCAATGAAAGTTCATATGATTCAAGATCAAAAGTTTGCAGTATAATTGAAATCTTGAAACCATTAACTAGATTGCCAAATGATTTCTAAATTTGGTAAAGCTTAGATTCAAATCAATGAGATAAGTACAACAAGTTTAAGATCGTTCAATTCTAAGATTATTAAAACACTTAAATACTAAAAGACTCTAATATACAATCAAAAAAATCAATCCTAACCATGGGATAATTTTTTTTTTGAGAGAGTTAACTAAATAAAAGAAAATATTCTTCTCAAAAACTATAATTAAACTCATCTAATTCTTTATATAGTTAAATAAATATAACGGACAGCCACAAGCAAACATTAATTAATATAAAATATATTGCATTAAATATAACCATCACTTAATTAATTAAGCTAAATCAACACACAACATTGAGGCACATCATCATTACATAACACTACTAAACAAACAACATATTAAAATACCCAAAAAACAACAATACAAAGATATGCCATGAATAAGCAATAAATTGAAATAGAGGTAGGCAGGCAAGCAAGCAAGCAAGAAAGAGGTAATATGTTGAATCTCTAGTTATTGTTCATTATGATCAAGAACAAATCTTGATGCTTTTGAATGAGAAAACTTGAAGAGTAAAATTTATGATTATTTGAGCTCTATTTTTTTTAAAAAAATATTGTTTCAAATTGAACATAATGATAATCTAAAACTAAAAATATATAAAATGATTTTATGTAAATTCAAATGAGTCCAGATCAAGCGTTTGCAAGATAATTGAAATATTTAAACCATTAATTAGGATGTCAAATGATTTCTAAATTTGGTAATGCTTAGACTCAAATCAATGAGATAAGTACAACAAGCTTAAGATCATTCAATTCTAAGATTGTTAAAACACTTAAATACTAAAAAACTCTAATATACAATCAAATAAATCAATCCTAACCATGGGATAATTTTTTTTTTTGAGAGAGTTAACTAAATAAAAGAAAATATTCCTCTCAAAAACTATGATTAAACTCATCTAATTCTTTATATAGTTAAATAAATATAACGGACAGCCGCAAGCAAACATTAATTAATATAAAATATATTGCATTAAATATAACCATCACTTAATTATTTAAGCTAAATCAACACACAACATTGAGGCACATCATCATTACATAACACTACTAAACAAACAACATATTAAAATACCCAAACAACAACAATACAAAGATATGCCATGAATAAGCAATAAATTGAAATAGAGGTAGGCAGGCAAGCAAGCAAGCAAGAAAGAGGTAATATGTTGAATCTCTAGTTATTGTTCATCCAGAACTTGGCCTGCAGTATTTCCACCGTCTTCTCATCAAGCTGGAAACTCCTCTCCAAAACATAGCGATAGATAGGCGGCTTCGATCCAAACACCGCATTCGCGATCGTAATCACCCCCGGATTCTGGCTGCTGAGCGCCGCAATGGCCACCGCATCTCCATTCCCATTATTGAGCTGAAAGTGGATGAGACCTTGCGGAAATACAAAGACATCTCCCTCATTCAGAACCTCCGTGTAGAGCTTATTGTCCGGATTGGATGTCACGAATCCAACAAAGAGAGAGCCCTTTATGACCACAAGTATCTCGCTGGCTCTCGGGTGAGTGTGGGGAGGGTTGAGGCCGTAAGGAGCAAAGTCTATGCGGGCGAGGGAGATGCCGAGAGTGTTTAACCCCGGGAGTTGCGTTGCTGAGACGGGCGTCACCTTTGATCCCAGCTGGTTCGTCGTGTTGCCCGGTTTGTTCAAGCCTGTGAAGAGGAAGTCCTTCGCGCTCACTAGCTTAGGGTTTTTGCACACCAACCCGTTCAAAATAACTGCATGTTCGACATAAAATGTACGTATTTTATTTGTAAACATGATTATTTAGCATTTATATATATTAGATGATTTATATGTATACTTATATATTTGCATATCTAATACCTAAACTTCTACTTCTATAAATATGTTATTTTAATGGTGCATTAAAAGCACATATGGTAGTAATTAAAATTACAAGTGCTCCTCAGATGAAACAATACCATGAAAATTTAAAATCATTTCAATAAAATAGTAAAAATTAATGAAGCATGTGTGAAATGTATATATATATAAATCATACTGTTGGAGTTGATGTCTGCAACACAGAAATCCTGGAGTTGCGGGGGATCGGTGGCGATTACAAAAGATGTGGGCAAAGCGAGCAGTGCAATGAGCAGCAGCTGGAGCTCATGAGATAAAGCCATTTCCTTTATTCCTAATAAATACTTAGCTTTTATTTCTCTCTCTCTCCTTCTAGCTCCACCTTGCTTGTGGTGAATTGCCTATGGGGTGTATGATCGATCAGTATATATATAGTTTTAGAGAGATCACATGAATGTTAGTTTCGTGCATGGTTTTTGAAGCAGTCATAGACTGAACAAGTCTACTTGTCTTGGGGTTAGGTTTTGCTAGATTTCTAGATATTGTATGGGTAGTTGATGAATTTTTCATAGTTAAATTATTAAAAAGACGTAAAAATATGGTGAAATTGGTTAGGTATGTGAACAACAATCATGAAAAATTAAAATATTTGATGTCCAACTTACAAATTCCTGGTGATAACTATTTTGGACGAAGTCCTATGTTTGTTTTTATGCACGCGTGTGTATGAATATAAATATAAAGATTTACAAATATACGACTCAATTTTAATATATTTACATGTTTAATACATAAAGTTTGATTTTATATACTTGCCATGAAAATATGAATTTCACCTTCTAAAAGTTAAGATGAAGTTGTTTCTTAAGTGATATGAAAAGTTTGGATGATATATATATAAAAAAATAAAAACGTATTTTATAAAACTGGAAAAGACACTATAACCGATAGTAAAACAAATTGTTTATATTTTTGTTGAGAAAAATGTCATATTTTCTGACTGTTTTACAACGGCTTATGTGTTAAATTATTTCCGATGATATAATAACATGCATATCGTCGCTAATGAACAGTTGATTAGTTTCCGACGGTATTTATTATAATCGACGCATTTCAGTGTTGTTTAAAAGCACTTAATAAATGACGGTCACATGTCTTAGGTTATTTACGAACCCGCCATTGGCAGGGGGTTAATCAATGAGCTTTTTTAGTAACCAACGGTCAGTGTCGTCAGTATTAATGTTAACAATCAACTGAGTTGAAGCTGTTTGTAAGTTGTCGGAAAGTATTATTTATACCGCTGAAATTCGCTATGCCCTCGAACTTGTGAAGGACGCAATGGAGAATTTAGGAAGCCAACCCCACTTATTGTGATAAAAGCTTCTTATTATTGTTATTGTAGAGAAACTGAAGCTTGTGAGATTTAGTAAATCTTATTAAATTCACTAAACACTTTCTACGCATTTACTAGGATTTAGTTATTAACATTCCAATTTAAGAATTTAAACTCTTCAAGATTTCATAAATCCGGTTTTACAAGATTTACAAGATTTACTCAATCCTACTGAAACTAAGTACTACTTGCAACTAAACAAACCCTAAGGAAAGAGTTTAATTGGGGGATATTTGGTATTGAATTTATAAAGGATTTAACAAATCCTGCCAAATGACAGAAGATGCCGCTTTAAATTTTACAGGTTCTTAAATTCCGTTTTTGCTCCATTTTGCCTTAAATCCGGGATTTACCAAAAGAAGCAGGAATCATGATTTACAAGATTCAAAAAGGTTGAAGCTTGTGGGATATATTTGTTTAAACTGACTAATAAGTTGATTTAGTAAATCCGAATTTACTAAACGAACAATAACAATCGCTCGAAAATTAATTTTGGATTGAATTTATTTTGAACCAACCTCCTCTCAGATCAAAATCGAATCGTTTAACATTATATTGATGTTAAGTATGTCGAAGATTCTTAAATCTGCTAAGCCGTCTTTTTCTAATATTGTGTGCAAATCTAGCTATTCTAACTCTTTCACGGGCATATTTATTTAGTATTTTATTTCAAATTGTAAAACCAATCATAAAACTAACTATTTTCATTCCCGCATCATCTTATGTGATTGATTGCACAACTCAAAAAATTTTCTTAAAAAACGATATTTCATATGATGTAAAGAGTATTCATTGTTTCTTACTTTGCAAAGTCTAATTTTCATTTCTAAAATAGAAATTCACTTTGAAATCTAGTTTATCAGTTCCAAAATGGAAACACACTTCAAATCTATTTTCCGTTATCTCAATTCCCATTTTGGGAATGCACGTGACATTTTAAAGTGAATTTCCATTTTGGAACCGACAACTTAGATTTCGAAGCGTATTTCTATTTTATAAATTGAAATTAGATTTCGCATTAGAGTATGTAGTGAAAACTGTTACATCATATGAAAAATTTCCTTCTAAGAAATATTTTTCAGGTGTGCAGCTAATCACGTATGATGTTTGTGGAAATGAGAATGCTTCTATTAATGATTGAATTTTTACTTAGAAAAGAAAATGTCAAAGAAACAAATTCGTGCAAGGTTTGGTGGAGTTTTGTTGATAGAAAATATTATATCTTAAAATTTTAAAAAATTTAAACAAATTATCGAACTTCAACAAGCCTAACTGCCTGTTAATATTCTAACCTCAAGCTTAATTATGGTTGTTTGAAAGAAATTTGATGGCAAATTTTTGACTCAAACTTGGGTAATTTATTTCGATCCTCTCTTTAACTAAGCCAAAATTAAAATTATTTAATTTTCGAGCGATTGTCATTGTTCAACCTATCTAAAACACTTACTCCTTTTATAATGTTTTGATTATATTCAGATTTGAACACTTTCTATTACAACTCTGTTGTTGGGTCAACTACAAGTAGAATCATTTAACATTTTAGTAATGTTAATTCCGTTGAAGATCATCAATCGGTTGAACATTGATTCAGAATCCGTTACGGCTCCCTCTAATATTGTATGTTACTGTGGCTACACTAGCCTTTGCACATATGTATTTGTGTCATATTTTGTCTTTAAGTGAAAAATCAATCATAAATCTTAGCATCCCCGTCTCTGCGACTTTTAACTAGATTACTCTCAAGCCTTTAAATAATTTCTAGGAAGGAAATATTTCCAATGATGTAAGAGTATTGTTCACTTCATTCTCTAATGAGAAATCTAACTTTCATTCCCAGAATGAAAATTCACTTCAAACATTTTGTTATGTGATGTCATGAACATAATGATAAAGTAAGTTTCCATTATGGGAATGAAAATTAGATTTCTCTTTGGATGATGAAGTGAACAACACTCTTACACCATATAAAATATTTTCATCTAAGTATTATTTATAAATGTGGAAGTAATCTAGTTAAACATTGCTGATAGAAGCATACATAGATGGATAAGTGGATTTATACTTGTAGAGGAAATGTGAAAGAGATATACTCGTGAAAAGGATAATGTAGCTATAGTGACGACCAAAATTAGAGGTAAAATATGGATAAATATTCGTCGATTATCGATCTTAGTAGGTTGTTAATGTTTCAAACTTCAATGTTGCCTAAAACGTTCACGCCTTTTAAAATGTTTTCACTATTATCAGATTTGATCACCATTGGTTACAAATCTGTCATTAGATCTTCTACAATAATTAAATATAATATATTCAGTTAAATGATCTTTGCAATATGTTGATTATTCTCAGGTTTGAAGGTACACATGAATATTCGTACATCATGATCTTGGATGTACAACAGACGTTACCGGGTAGAAAAAAGTTCGCCCAGGAGTTCTTGAACGGTGTCGAGACATTCGTGACTGCAACATTGTAACTTCCATTTTATCTATCTGAGGGTATATTTTGACATCCATGCTCATAACGCAAGAATTGAGCATACATAAGTCACTCCTAAACAAAGAGAACATAATGGATAATTATATGGCTCTTTGCTGCATTTTTAATTCTTGATCCCTAATGAGGAGTATCGCGGGGCTAGAAGGCATGGATTTACTCCTCATTAAATAACCTGCGATAGTGATATTGTGAATGATTAGTGATATTGTGGTCGTCTTTGTCAAACGGTTAGTGATACTACAACTAATGTTCAACTGTATCTTTGTTCAGATCGGGTCGAATGATTAGTGATATTGTGAGACTGTATCTTTCTTCAGATCGGGCCAACTAGAATGTAGGCTACTATATTGGATTGACTTTCTTTTAGTGTTTAGCTCGGATGTCTGTTTGTCTCATTTTACTCTGAATTGTTTGGGTTTGGGTCAACTAAACGTCTTTTTGTCCTCCTCATAGCTCGATCGACTTTGGCCTTGACTCAGATCGCTGAATCCAACAAATAAGTGGGCATTTTGGTTTTTTGTTTTTGAGTTATCTTTTGTTTTACTCTTCTCCTCTAGACCACCACTAGAAGTCCTCATTTTAAGTTTTGGCACATTTTCAATATCCATATAAAAATTTATAAAAACATGAGAGCCTGTGTTTTAATAAATTTTTTTTTGTGGGGATGACTTCTTCTAGGATGCATTAACTATAAGGGCTTGCTCACTCAAAAAAGTTATATTCTAGAATAAATAAATCAAGTCAAACGCAGATTTGGCTTATATTCTCACGTGAAGTAGACCGCAAATCCTGAAATATTTTTTTTTTGTGTGATTTCATCTATCATAGGATAATATTTTTATCTTTGAAAATTATATGTTATCCATTATATCAGATCTAATTATAAAATGATCAAATGTAGCTCCTCTTATGTGCTCCATATTTCAAAGGAGATAACAATTAATATAGATAAACAATGTATTAATTTTACAATATCCAAATAGACAATAGGCTTTAAGCCCAAATGATAGTATTAATTACAGCAAATCAATTTAATCTAGTCAACCATTTCATTGTATCGTGATAAATGTGTAAATGAGATAAGTTTGAGCATTCCAAATATAAAAATGTGGTCAAGATTTACGTTTGTATTGCTCAACGATTGGCTTATTGAGACGAGTTATTTACTAAGTGAATATTTACTTTAAAAAAATTATACAAACATGCAATTATATATATATATATATATATAATGAGAATGCTTC